GCCCCTGCCCCTGCCCCTGCCCCTGCCCCCTGCCCTGCCCCTGCCCCTGCCCGCCCTGCCCCTGCGCCCGAATTGAAATGAATGAATTGAAACCTTTAAATTACTGCGAGACAAGGCCAATCCCAAGGCCTGCTCTCCTTCCGCTCTCGACCGCGCAAAATTTCGCTACCGCTTTATAAATTTTAGGCTTGAGGATCTTTTACTGCATTGAAATCTTACTAACATGGCAGCGCTTTAGATTCCACCCACCCGAAACGAAGGCGTAACAGAGAAGGATTTTTTTCGGTCTTTGAAAATCCACGGCTTCTAATGGAGTTGGACCCAACCTTGTGTACAACAGTCCGTACCGCTACCGTTACACCAACCACCGCGTGCATCCCCCCTGCCGCCCCCCGCCCCGCCCCCGCTGCCCGCGCCTGCCCCGCCCCTTCCCGCCCCTGGCCCTGCCCCCGCCCCCCCCTTGCGCCTGCCCCCGCCCCTGCCTATCTCCCATGCACGCCCCTTGTCCCTACTCCTATCCATGCCCCTGCCCTTCCCCTGCCCTGCCCCCCCGCCCCTGCCCCGCCCCTGCCGCCCCGCCCCTGCCGCCGCCCCTGCCGCCGCCCCATGCCGCCTCCGCCCCAATTGCCGCCCCCCATGCCGCCGCCCCATGCCGGCCGCCCTATGCCCCGGCCCCTTGCCCCTCCCCCTTCCTCTGCCCCTTGCCTCTGCCCACGCCCTGCCCACCCTATCCTACTGCCATATGCAAACCACCACCGTTTCTGTAGGCATCTGTACACAAAATTGCATGATGCAGGCTCCCAGCAAATTTTTTGTTACTTTGGCCCGAAATGATTCAACACCCAATCGTGCTATTGACTTGGAATCATTAGTTAAAAAATTTTTAGAAAATTGGTATTAATTTTCCTGAATTTCCTCACCTTTTTTAAGGACAATCACAAAAAAACTGGAAAGGTAGGGCACTTAATTTTGTTGACGGAGTGGGGAAAGGAAAGGAGTGTTAGTTTTTTACAAAATTTGAATTTTTACAGTAATTTTTCACTTGTTTTCAAGGTCACATGCAGAAAATTTCATGAAGATAGGAATTGAAAGTGGAGATTTATGTAAAAGAACAACATGCCGAACAAACATTCTTCTTAATATAATGTTAGAAAATATATTTTTGTAAATAACCGAAGTTATGCCTGACTAAATACCAGCAGAAACCCCTTTTAAAAATAATAGTTTAGCTGATTTGCCAAGTTAGCCCAACACACGAAATCATGAAACAATAGAATGGTTCTAAATACGCGTATGACAATGTAAACTGTCCATAATTTTGAAACCCCAATTATATTTCTATGTGATAACTCGTTCAATTTTACCGGGAGTAACAATTTGTTTCTACAACTGGTATTGTAGTAAGTTGTTGATGATGACATAACCAAAATTTGAAGATTGCTGGCTTGACTTTGACAGTATTTTTGATTTTTGAAAAATGAATAAGAAAAAAATGCTTTTGGACTAAGTTTAGAAACCTTGGTGTATTGCAGTGTAAGTTCTAATTGCCAAGACTGACTTAGTACTAATAACTAAATTTCTCAAAAAAAGTTCAGATTCCTGTTTTTTGAAACCAGCTTCTATATATGAATATTTTAATTGCCTTTAATGTTTAAGTAAAACAAATTTTTGAACTTATTTGAGATGGTTTTGGAATCGGTGTTTAAATATTATGTTAATTTTAAAATTTTAAGTTATTCTGTGGTAATTAATACTAATCTTTAAAATTGCTTGTATGGTTTCCCTACTCCTGAAGCATTACATAGTAAACGTTTCATTTTCCTATGAAGATGTCCATCCTTGTTTTTCCTTGGCTTTAAGCATTTTAATGGCATTTTTGGGAGATCCTTGTGAGAGAGCACCATTGGTCAGCATTAATCATTTTCAGCTGCAGCTTGCAAGCTGCAAACCCAAGTTCGAGTTTCCCAATTAGGGCAAGACTATTAGTGTGCACTTTTCTTTGCAATGTCACCAGTATATGAGTACTGCATGATGATAAAACTCATTCCTCAAGTTGAGAAGACCAGAACAGTCTAGGGAAGCCTGCGTATTAACCACACATTTACCCCTACGTAAACCCCTCAAAACCAATTGCCACAAACCGGGACGCTGCTGGTAGACCCAAGCTTTGTCATTGGCTATTCCACAATGTACCATACTCACTCACTCTCCTTACTGCATAGATGTATACATCCTACAATAGGAAGAGGCTCACCAAGACATGGAATTCTGTAATGATTCAATTAGAAAATCATTGTATTATCAATTGTGTCATTAAAGCTATAATTTAATTCCCGTGTCATGTTTATATTACAAGAAAAAGTGTTTATGGGGTGAATAAAGAAAGTTCAAGGGAAAACAGTTTCTCGCTATTTTGTTCTATGCCTATGCCTGGAGGTTTCACCCAAGATGTTCATTATTTCCTTACTTGTATAGCTTTTCAAGGCAACTATGTGTAGCCATTATGGTCTGTTTGTTAGCTCTTTATTGTGTATACAATACATTACCCAACTGGTAAACAAATCCCCAAATCTGTGTGTAGCAGATCCACTTTCTTTTCAGTGACTTTAATTTATAATCTTATGTTAGGGGCTAACACTTTAAAATCTAATCCAGGACACATGGTGGCATTACTTTCGCTACTGATGCCTTGATTCTGTACTCGATCTTAGCTACATGTGTGCAGCCTAATGTAATGTATGTATTATTCATTTGTCACAATCGCATCGCATCTAACGACATCACACTTCCCACACATCACACGATCATTCACTATCAACTTCTATACTTTGTGTCTTTCGGTATATATTTTCTCCAATTGCCGGTTGGAATTACTTTGATCTTTGCATAGCAACCATGAATCTTTCAGTTTCAGGGAAGATCTGTTCTTGAAATCAACCAGTAGTTTGACATCCGCTGTATCGACAAGCGGCTTGGGCTGTCTCGTTTGGATGCCCTTCCATGAATAGTGTTTTCCATCCACGCATCAATTTTTCGCTGGATACTTTGGGCCACAAGGCGTACGTCTGACTGGCATTAACTTTATGAAAATTCTTGTGTTCGTTCACTGCGCAAAACTGCAAACGTGTAGGTTGGAAGCGGTAGATTTCGCGTGGATGATTTCGCCCTGAGTCTCAAGCGCCGACTTCGAGATCGCATGGTGTTATGTGGAATCTCTCTTTTTTGGGCACAGCATAAGTTAATAGCTTTGGAAATGTTTCCTCCATTATGTCCAGTTTTTAAAATTCTTACTCTCTATCCTCTATTCGGTGGTTAATTCATGCGCCTATCTTGTTCAATTTCCAGACACCGGTATGATTTTCAGCTTGCATCACTCATATTCCATAGGTCACAAGTTCATATGCAAAATGTTGATGCTTTCCTCTAACCAAATTCACTGTCCAGTCCAAATTGCATCCTTATGTCGTTTGAAAAGCTTTCCAGTTTTCAGGAGATATGTGACCTGTGTCTTAGTTAACGCATATACCTTTACATCGCCGACATAAGTCAGATGGTTAGTGCGATATAATACTTTCATTTCGGATTTAATCGTAAATCCCTACTCTGTGGCGTTTAATGGAGAAAATAATGTTCATGCACAAAATAAACCATTGTTGACTTGGTGAATTACCTTGAAATATCCTACATTTTATAGGGATGACATCAGTTTCAGTAGCTTGAGTTGATGTTTTTCAGAGAATTTTCGTTCTCTAGGTAATAATCATCTGTTGCAGGAACGTGATCACATGCGAGTTAGTTTTGTAAATACTGCTAACAGACAATAATGAATGACAGATCGAAGGCTTTTTTAAAATCCACATAACCCATATACAGATTTCTGTTCTGACGCCACGTTACATACAACAGAGTCTATTATTAGTTCTTTGCAACCTTTAGAACACTTCCTGCATCGCTTTTCTCTTCCGTGAAAATGCCGTTTGCTCACAATGGGTATTAATTATTTGCGAAAGGCATAATGTGGTGAACGCATACGTGTAGGAAAACACGTGATTTGGGCGAACAATCATGGTTAGGTGTCAAATTGGTAATACCTTGAATAAGGAATCTTATCATTTTACTCGGCTCTTTTACAACAGAGATTCCATTAGTCATCTGCAATCTGGATCCGCGCATGTTTGAATCACACTTGTAATGTCGTGGGTCAAGATTTCATGTAACTGCACAAGTTGAATTTGACTGGAGCGGTTTTGATATGCTTTAATATATAGTGCTTTACTTCTGAAGTCTGGTGAAGTTCTGTGCTGATGGCCCCAAATGTTTCAATTTCTTGCCGAGCACGGTAGATAGTTTCTGAATCTGTAGATTACTAATTTTCCATGGTCCAGTAGAAAAATTGTTCCCGTGTAGAAAACTGAATATTATTTTACCTGCAATTTCTACAGTTTCCGTACCTACAGTAATTGTACGCATCTGATGTAATTTCTACAGTATCCGTCTATTTGAGTGTGTCCAGGCACTGTTTGCACGGTATTATTTCGATACCATGAATTGCCTTAAAATACCAGTCACTTTTCTTAGTTGCTTAGGTGACCTTGTACTTTCAATGTAGATGTTTAATCTTGCGATGTCACCCTTGAGTTTTTCAATTTTTCTGTACCATAATTGCCACTTCGTCATCTGAGGTGTGGTTGCGAGAGTTCTTTACGCTTCTAATTGCAGCAGAGTAGATAACCGCATGCAACGCCTCTATGTCTTGTGACGAATGGACATACTCAGGAAGTATCTCGCAGTTCATTATTTCGAGCAATCGAGCTAACTTCTCCGAAACGTTTTGCTTCCTTCGCATTTGTGGATTGGTACCTTGAAACTGAATAATTACGCGTACCATTCCGCTCTTTAAAATTTCAGTTAATCCATCGTCCTCATTGAACTGCATGATGTTAGCACATTGTGGGAAAGAAGAGGACTGTTGCCCTGGGTTTGATTCCGACTTTTGCCCGTGAACCTCCATGCTGTCCCTCGTGAGTGACATGGAGTTTTGGTTAATTTGTACTTCCTTCCGGACTAGTGAAAGGTCTAAAGGCGTGTTTTGGGGGTTACGTTGCGGCGAAGAATAGTTTTATATTGGTCAGCTAATAGGACGTTAACAGGAAAATTGGGAACAATCAACGTAACTTCAGAAAATATCCTCCGTCTGTAACCGGTCCCAACAGTATCAAAATTTGTGACTCAATAGTAGATGCACACGATGCTTTCATTAACCTCACTAGTCCATTTCTTGCGCTGTCGTGAGCGCACCCTGCAAGACGTGGTACCGCTCAGGCAAGGTGGACCTCTTGACGGACATTGGCTTCGTTTATTAACAGCAATAGCTTTCGGGCACCGGTGCCCGAGCGTCATTGTAATTAGTGGCAATTGCCTGCCTTCCACGTGGGTTGGAGGCATGTAGATAGAGTATTGAATTGAATTTGCCTTATTTTACGTGGCGAGACTCGGGCCATCAGGCCCGCTCTTCCGTCTAACCACGCAAATTTTGCTACGCTCCTTACATCAACTAACAGAGAAAGGAGGTATTTCTTGGGCGAGAAACAGGCGATTTGAATGAGCTTAGAGGCGTCTTTAGGCTCTTTTACATGCAAGTACATCTACTAACATGAGACAGCCGGCTTTTCGTCCCATCCGAAGGATTTTTTCCGCCCTTAAAAATCCACGGCTTCGATCGGGTTTGAACCTGCCAACTTGGTTACAACAGTCCGGTACGCTAACCGTTACCCATCGCAAAGTTGGGGGAGGCGTCTGCTTCGGTTTGTCGCCTCATACGACAGATCCCGTGGTGCTATTATGCTAAAATCCCCGAACACCACACGCGGTTATTATTATTATTATTATTATTATTATTATTATTAATAATAATAATAATAATAATAATAATAATTAATAATATATCAATTAATTTTTGTAGTGCCCATGTTGATCTTTTCTCCTAATTTTCGTAACATGTTGAAGAACTGCGGCGCAGTAAATTCATCATCAATACATTTCAAATCAGAAAAGTACATTCTTTCCTTATTTTGTAGTGATCCCAAAATGCTGTTTTCTTAAATTTATATAGTATTAGCATTGTGATTCATGGATATTCTTGTGTTATATGCCACTTAAACAGAGGGTATACTAGGGGACCTGGTTAAATTCCTGCTCATGCTGACGGCTTCTAACAATTTTGTCATGATTTACACACTTCTCCACATTTTATGTTGTCTTGCTGCTAATTCATATTTTCCTTTCAGGATGTTCTGAAGTATGGCAACATGAATCGTACAAAAATTACGGAGAATGGAAAAAAAATGAGTAAGAGGTGGGCGTCTGCCTATGTAGTATTAACCGAAGATGCCATATGTTTTTATAAGGATCTTAAAAATTCTCAACATTCTGTGGTGAGTGGACATTTATAATGTTGATCTCTTGGGCATATTTCATGTAGATTTATTCTTGTTATGGAAAGTTAATTTTAGTTCTGTCTTCATGATAATTACATTAATACCATATTGTACTGTTTTGTACATGTACATTGGCGTACTTTGGTGATCTTATTGCTGTAGTTCATTATTCTAATTTGTGTTCAATTCTAATTCACACTGTTGTACTAATAAGAACTGTATTGGAGATCTTGTTAAAAAAAATTTTGTCAACACTTAGACTCGTTTCATCGGTATTTGGTGTACATGTGTTTCAAGGTATGGATTAGTTGAGGAAAATAAGGTGTAAAAGATATATCTTTTTCATTAAAAATTTATATTTCTTTCAATGAATGCGAAAAGGATGTTAAATTTGTATATTTTCTTCCCCTTTTACTTTTAATGCGAAAGATTAAAACTCTTTTGATGCATTATATTTATTATGATATTCATTATATATACTATGTTTCTAATGTTTTATTAAGAAAATGGAACTTGCACTTGTCTGGAAAGTTTTTTGAGTCCAGTCATAATTGCAGTACCATTCTTTTTTAACTTCTTTTTTTTTAACTTCTGTTTATGTTTTGTTCTAATTTTATATCTTAGGCATAATTCGCGCGCGCGTGTGCGTGTGTAATGCACTGTTAACCTGCCACATATTATTGGCTTTAATCTGCGATGGTGAACACACACGATGGGTGAAATCTGTGATCGCTCAGAATTCGAAAGAGAGCAAGTGGTTTGTGTGCGCTGAGTGGGAGCATCTGTGACAAAACACAGCCGTCAGCCTAACCGTTTCACGTTTCACGAGCGTCAGTATCCACGGTAATGACAGGATTCACTAAACGCGACCAAACAAAATCGATGAAGGGGAATAGTGAGCGAAAGCCGAAGTTAACTGACAGAGACCGACGGACACTAAAAGGATCGTAGCCAGACAGCGTAAAACTTCCGCGGCAAAAGCGACTGCAGAACTCAACTCCCACTTCAGTAATACTGTTTCCACAACAACAGCCCGGCGGGAGCTTCACATAGCTAACATTCTCGGAAGGGCTGCGATTGCGAACTCAAAGCTGCGAAAGTAGTAGTGCTATGATCATAAAACCTAGACACTGGAAACGATGACTGGAATGTGGTATGATCCGATGAATCATCGTTTCCATTGTTTCCTGCAAGTGTCCAGGGTTGTGTATGGGGAACCTGAAGCAGCCTACGATCCAACCTGCCTTCAGTCAAGGCCAGCAGGGGCACGGGCCAGGGAGGCTCTGATGCGATTTGGGCGGTGGTATCGCTCTATTATTACCCTCACTGGTGGGATTAGTGCGAATGAAGATATTGCCATCCTCGACAATGAAGTGCTTACAACGACTAACTCGTTGTTGCCGTATTCCAAGACGATAACGCACCCATGTACCCAGCAAAAAGGGTTCGGGAGGTTTGCGGAGCATCAGAATATCATAAAAAATCTTCCCTGACCAGCTCAATCGCCGCCCCTCAAAATAATCGAACTTTTTTGGGGCGTTTTAGAGCTGAAGCGATGGGCGGATGTTTGGGTGCAAGAACACACCTTCCATGGGATCTCTTCCGACAGTACATGTGCATTCCGCGACGAATTACAACTGCCCTAAAGCAAACGGTGGCCTGGCCGTTGTCAATAAATACTTATTTCGTATATTTATTTACACAGGCGCACAGATATATTGCTTGCTTGTGGCACTGGCTGAGGGTAGCACTTTGTGGTGTTTTGCAGGGCCTGCAGCCAGAGTTGTCGATGCAGTTGTCCGGAGCGCGAGTGGAGCCGGGGGAGAAGTTGTCCAGCCGCAAGCACGTCTTCTTGATCACCTCCGGCAGCTTGCAGCTGCTGTGCGAGTGTGACTCGGCCGAAGGCGCTGCTCAATGGCGCTCGGCCATCACCGACGCCATCGTCAGACTAGTAAGTGTTCATTTCAAGGCTTGTCCTTTGTTGGTAGAACTTCAAGTGACTGTGTTTTTTCGAGTCTTGGAATGAAACACCGTAGCCAACGATGTTCCAGGTTGAAGTACAAAATTAAATCTTTTCGGCTGCAGCTAAATATCTGAGTGAAAGCTGACTCCCAATAGAATGAGAATCCTAGTGGCAGTGGCTCGGATCGGTCGTTTCTAGAAATGCCTGTGAGCCATTTCAGGTAGATGGGCAAAGGGACGTAGATGACAATACCGTCCTTCCCTATCCTTAGGACTAGTATTGGACTGATCCTTCATCATCACCCTTTATTCTAGAATATTCTTGGCGGGAGTTAACTGATGCTGACATATGTAAGAGGCTGAACAAGTGTTTTTGGTAGATCCTATAGAAAATTGATTGCTTTTCACAAATGCTAATAAGTCAGTTTTTTACAAAGTTTGGCTTACATTGCTTCTGCCCTAAGCCATTTAAAAGGTTTTCTATGCAGTGTATCATTTTAAAGAATTATTATGTTTGGAGGAAAAAATACTTAACTTCTTTTTTATGTTCACACTACATATTTGTAATGTTATTTCTTTTTCCAGGCAAAACCTGTGGTGACACCACCAGCTAAAATCTCACAAGATAAACCAAAGACCGCATCCATTGGGAGATCAAAATCTCTTCAAGGTAAGTACTTTTCGTATTATGTAAAAATTCAATAGAACTGTATTTTGGCGCCCATTCTTCCTCTGAAGCCGTATTTGCTAATAATGTAGGTATTTACTGTTGGTATCCTGGTGATCCAAATATTGTTTTGTTTCTTTCTGACACAATTCCACATTACCCACAAAAGTAATGTCTGTCAGTTGCAGTCTCCCCATTATCAGGTTATTGAAGATTTCTTGTATGCGAGTGTGTGTGTGTGTGTGTGTGTGTGTGTGTGTGTGTGTGTGTGTAATCAGATTATTAAAGGTTCCGTGTTGATTTTATAGTATACTCCAGTGAAAGTGAAACATGAAGAAGGAATAAATAGAAAAGTTCAAGGTGCTACCCGAAAGTTCCTGAAATATGACACAAAGTTTAATCACATCAAACAAGATTTTTATTTGCTACCGTCACCTTCAAAGTAGTCCCTTTGAAACCCCAGGCACTGATCCCAGCGGTTTTGTCATGAATGGCAGGCATCCTGGAAGTCTTTTTTAGTCAGTGGGTTGATTGATTGATAGTGATTCGGGGCACGTCAGGGCTTCCCCCAAACCAGGTATCTCCCACCAGCAGACCATCGCCCCAGCAAGGATAAGCTCTAAAATCCCGACCAGTTTCCCAGTATGTGTGGGATTGTAGTGCATGTTAGTCTGTGTGTGTGTGAATGTGTGTGTAAGGGGTGAGGATTGTACTTGGAAGAGGAAGGAAAGATCGTAACCCATTCGCTAGGGCACTGTTCTGGCATTCGCCTAGTGTTGGTCGAAGCAATCCCACGGAAAACTATCAATCACAGCAGCTGGCCACTAGAATTCTCCTCCTGACAGCGACTGAACTCGACCTAACTGACAAGCTAGTGTTGAAAATTTTGCAGCCGTAAGGACTCAGACCTAGGACCTCCCAGTCAGAGACACTGCAGTGACATCCGTTAATGCACTGAGAAACCTCTCCTGGTGTCGGTGTGTTCACCACCACTTGCAATTCCATTTGAATCTCCTCTATCGTGTCAAATCTTGCCCTCTTTTACTTGATTTTCATTTTGGTAAAGAGAAATATAGTGTTTTGTCAAAAACTGCTGCACGATGAAAGCTGTGTGTGGTCTTTCATTGTCGAGGTGGCGAAGGATTTAACCACTTCTCTGGAGGTTTTCTTCTCATATTCTCCCTTGGCTGCCTTAGGAGAGCAGGATAAAATTCTCCATTAATCATCCAACCATGAGGTACGTGCTCCTCGAGGATAATACCATCAATATCAAGGAGCCAGTAAGCAATTCATGTTGCTCCAAACTTGACGAGCTTTCTTTGGCTCTGGTGAATATGGTCTCTTCCATTAGAAAGACTGCTGTTTAGTTCCAGGGTCATATCGACATACCCAGCTTTCATCACTGAAAACAACCTTAGAAAGAGAATCTGAGTCAGTTCAAAGCTGTTCTTTCATTTCACTGCAGACATCCATGCGGTGTTCTTTCTGAGCGTCACTCAGCAGTTGTGGCACTTTGCCACAATCCTTCTCATGTTCAATTTTTCTGACAAAATCCGCCGACGTGTGCCATATGATAATCCCACGATTTTATAGATGTCATGGATAGTCTACCGACAATCAGGGCTGGCGGTTGGCCTGGGGAGTTGACCTGGGTGGGGGTTCCCCCACACTGCATCTCCCACCAAAAATGCATATGAAGGGAAAAAACAAAACAGAATTTTTCAAATTGTCATTTTTATCATTAAATTATCATGAAATTGTTATCACATTTATTTTATGTAATTTCAGTACAGTTCATTTTGCAAAGCAAATACACCTCTGTGTTTTCCATTTTTTTGATATAAACTCATTTAACAATTTTTGCAAATTGGTTTTGTCTGTCATGTCGCTGAAAACACGTAAAATCACAATACTCTTTAGCTGATTTTGCTATGTTGTTGATATTATCTTAATGGATATTAAACAAATCAAGGTCAGTTTCGCTACAAGTTTTGTTTTTCTCTCCACCCTGAACATATTTATAGAATAAGTAACTTTTTTTTATTGTATGTTAATGTTCTGATGAGGACAAAAAAGTGGTCGAAATGTCAACTGTGAATAAAAGCAATTTTGTCTTATGTATTTATTTATTTACGTCAAAAATAGTTAAAAACTGTATGTGACGTGCTATGGGGAGAAGTTAATTTGAAGTCGCATTTATGTCCAGAAGCAAAACAAGGGGCCATCTCTGCATTTGCTCAAGGATCAGGGAAACTGGACGAAAACCTGATTGAGATGGGTGTTATTGACCCAGAAGCTGAAGTACAATACTTGTTACAGGTTCTTAACAATTATACAATCCAAATGGTAAATAATACATTAAATGTCATTGTTAAAATTAATATTACTTTCCTTTTGTATGCTCGGTATAGTCTCTAATTGTATAGAAACAGTTTTGCAGCAGAAAAGATTTTATTTGTGGTGTAAACTTTTGTATTGAATATATTTGTTTAATGTCATCTGGCAAGGTGTTGTATAATAATGTACATGTATTATATGGGAACTTTTTGTAGTGAGCTGTTGATAACGTCACCTGATGAATATGATTTCTACATCGAGTGTTGTAGTTACAGACATTGGCATTTGCTGAAAATATATTCCCACCCTTAAGTTATTTTTGACAAAAAACACTGAGTAACCAGGAGACAAGGTACAATCAATTACTTGCTGCAAGAGTCATGGGACACGGTTTACAAAACATTTGGTACAAATGATGTCCTACTCAATTGTGTTATGGGAATTTTCCATGAAATATTTTTCTTTTTTGAAGAGGAAACACTTGCTTTTCTCTTCAAAAAAGAAAATTAAATATTTCACGGAAAAGTAATTCCTGGATAACACAAGTGATTAGGACATCATGTATAACCTAACACATTCTTTCTTTCGTTTCTAACCATCATAATGTATCTCGAGATTTCCTCCTCTACTTTAAAAGTACAAATCGTTGTTAAGAAACATTATAAAGCAGGCTGAAATCAAGAATCATGATCAGGATATTTTGAACTCAAATAGTAAAACAAAAGCAATGTTGAAGATGGTTAAAAATTCGACAAAAAATTCGACACATCTTGAAACCTTTGTAGAGAATGTTGTTTTAAAAGATAACGATCGAAATGTGAACGATCTGGCAACAGTGGCTAATCTCTTTAACTAATACTCTCCAAGACTATTGCTGCTGATCTCAGTAAGGGTCGTCAGCCACAAAATTCAGCATCAGAAGTTTCTCCAAAAATTTTGTGCATGATGTTTGTTTCGGAAACTTCTTCTTATGAAATTCTCAAAATAATCGGTATCCTAAAATATAAATATTTGCCTGGTTTAGATGAATTTCCAGATTGTTTGTTAAAGGCTTGTTCACCTGCCATTATATACTCGTTAACATACATGTTTAATGTATTCTTATGCATGGGAATGTTTAATACAGCTAAGTTTAATAAAGATATTTTTAATACATATAAGATTAAACCTCTTTTCAAATAAGGCAACAAACCAACACTGGTACAACACACCAACACTGCAAAGAAATGAAACACTCAAACAGCCAATTAAAACTGTATCTGTGAGACACGCATGTTAAATTATTTGAGCTAAACTTTTTCTCAGAAAAACACTTCACCTGGCATGATCTTCCCCTGAACTTTGTCGGAAAACATGCACTCATGGCGAGCTTGCAAAATGCCTTTCACAACCTCGGCAGTGTCATGCCCAACACCCATCCCCACCCACATTTTCTAGCTCTCTTCCATCCTCCTGGACGTCTTTGGACCCAATTACCTTATCCCCTGAACCTAATCCTTGTACTACCTTTCCCATTATTCATTTATCTTTATTTGTCACCCCTCCTTCCTCACCTCCTGTCACTGCTGGGGCACAATACTTCCATCGACCATGCACTCGAGAGAAAAATGAGATAATTAAATAGCAAATACAGTCAAATGCACCAGAGAAACATTTATGTAGGTACAAGCAAAAAATTCAAATAATGCATCATAATGTGCAATCTAAGCCGATCCGGTGGCCGAGATCGCTAAGGCAGTAGTGCCGTAGCGATCTCTTACCGAAAGTTCGTGTCCTGCCTCAGGCACGGCTGAATTTGGGTTCTCCCTTTCACCCCCCATCGTCGTCGTCGTCGTCGTCGTCGTCGTCGTCGTCGTGGTCGTGGTCGTCGTCGTGGTCGTCGTCGTGGTCGTCGTCGTGGTCGTCGTCGTGGTCGTCGTCGTCGTCGTCGTCGTCGTCGTCCATCTCTCATTATCACCTTTCTGAATAACATTCAGAATTGTTACTCGAGGATTTATCCTCATTTCAAGGTGAAAACCTTCGACAATCGACCAAAGTGAAGTGGAACGACTCAAGTGGTCCAATGTGGCCAATCAAGCTAAAAGAAAAAAAAAAGTGCAATCTCTTTGAAATAAATTTTGAATTTATCGAGGCAGCATTACAGTGTGATCTAGGTCAAATAGATGTTTTTTGCTTTACAGCCCATTAGTTGTCTCATAATGATCTAAACACACTCCAAATTCCTAGTTTTTACTGTGCAGGAATCAAATGAAGACCCTGCGTATGGAGATTCATGTATTTACATAAGAAATGATATGTATATTGATTCTATCTTGGCAGAATTCAATTTATATACAGTTAAAAAAGTTTTTGAAGTATCAGTCGTACATCTTACTACGTTCAACACTATCTTACTTTGCATCTACAGACTTCCAACAAAGCGAGCTTAAGATAATTTAATTTATTAGAAAAATTAGAGATAACTCAGAACAAATTAGTAATCCATGTTTTAAATCTATTGTTATATATGGAGATTTCAATATTGATTTTCTGATTCCCGCAATAAAGAGCAGTTTCTCAATTTACTGCATTCTTTTAATTTAGATATTACAGTGAATGTACCTACATGGTATACATTTACATAAAAAATGTAATAGATCAAATTATAATTAACAAAACCACAACTCAATATGTAATAAAAACTTCTAATCTAGGTTACAGAGACCATGATGCACAAATTCTTACAATTACTAATAACATGAATACTGACACAATAAATAATACACACGTGTGCAAGGCATTCACTAAAGTAACATAAAATTAATTACGGAATATTTGCAGAAGGAACCATGGGACACAGTTCATAACTGTTGACACAAATGAAAATTATAATATATTTTTCTCAAAGTTTTCATTTCACTGTAATGCATGCTTTCCTCTCAATAAGAGAAAATTAAACATTTCATGGAAAAATAATACTATGATCACACAAGGAATTAGAACATAGTGTAGAAACAAATATATGTTTTACTTTATTTCAAAACATATCACCTGATTTCCATGTCTACCACCGAGACACAAAAACATTCTGGGGAGCTCGTCGTGTAGTACCCAGACTTTAGATTGCCAAAGAAAATTATTCGAATAATCAGAAAATGTCATCCACGTGATCCCTGCAAGTCTCTCTTCATTAAGCTTGGAATCTTTCCATTGCCTTGCCTATTTATTTACGAATCTGTAATATTTGTCAAAAGTGACTTAACGGCGGGAACATATTTTCATGTAATACTGATATGATTACCACACACACCGTAGAAACCACATTCATCAGGTGTCAGCATCAACAGCTCACTACCAGAAATCCACATACAATACATGTATGTTACTTTACAACGCATTCCCAGATGGCATTAAATAATTGAAGTTAAAAGTAAAATATTTTCTGCTTCACAACTGTTTCTATACAATTATAAACTATACTGATCATCGAAAAGAAAAATTATGTTTATTTTAACAAAACAGTGATAGATATTGAATTAGTTTACATTTGCATAGTATATTTGTTTTAAAAGACTTAATATGTTTGTAACAAATAATGTACTTCAGCTTCCGGGTCAGTGACCATCATCTCGATCTGGTTTTTATCCAATTTCCCAGATACATTGAGCAAATGCTGCGATGGCCCCTTGTTTTGCTTCTGGACGTAAATGTAGCTTCACTATGCGCACGTTTTGTCGAACTCTTTTACTTGTAGCGGTAGGAGTAGGGGCAAGGGCGAGTTACTATTTTGTCGGCAATGCAGAAAAATCAAATCTGCAGTTCGTTTACCGTTCCAAATATACCGTTCCAATTTCTGTAACTCGAAAACGAAAATGTCTAGTTTTTCAAATGTTACTAATCTCGCGCTTTTTTTAATTTCATTTATTTCTCTTTAACTTTCACTTTTCTTTCAACTATTTATAGTTAAAATAATGGGAAGGGATTCTGGAACTCAAGGAAACGTGCGCAGATGATCTTCTTCCCATACGTCACGTACAGTTCTGTTTTTTGACTAAAAAATCTAAATCTAGTACACCAGATACGTAAGCAAACTGGATCGTTGCGGCGTCGGGCGGAAAAGGAAGTTCTGCGGATTTTCTGAAGTGCTTAACTCAACGCGCGTCTACGCAACGCTCGTGTGCAGGGTCTCTAAGTGGACAAAGTGGTGGTCGAAAGCGGAATGTGGCAGGGTAGGGGCGTTGCGGCCCTATATACTGCGGCAATGCTATCTGATATCTTTGCCTCGACCCGCACTCGCGTAGTGGTAACAACCTGAGCATAACTTCCTTTAATCAGCAAATCCCTCAACTCTCGCACATGTGCTAAAATTTGAGCACTGTGTCCACCCTTAGCTGCCTTCGCCCGCCCTCCTCCCCCGCAAGCCTCGCCTCTCTCGTCCCTTCGGCCGCGCCGCCCCCACACGCTCCGCAAAACGTCCTTTTTCGCCAGACGCTGCAAGGTGTACGATCCAGTTCGCTTACGCATCTGGCATACCACTTTTCGTATACGTACGTAGACACAGTAGGGCAACAAAAATGAAATTCAAAATTATCCGCCAATTTCTCCGTGTCCTTCAAAAAAATATTAGAGAGAGGTTTTTACTTCGATCGGAAACCTTTCTTAGTAAACTCATCGCGTTTTCAGATTGCCAACATGGATCGCGTCATCCATGGATCAAAACGAAGCACCTATTGGAATATTTTTAGATCTTTGAAAAGCATTTGACGTCATAACGACGTTTGACGATCATAACATTGTAGTTCCAAAATTATCTTCGTATGGAATTCGTTGTATTGCACTAGATTGGTCATGTCCGTACCTTAAACAATGATCTCAGAGAGTGGGAATAACATACTGGAATAATGGAATAGTATGTACTCACTTTTCCGATTCATTGCCGATTTCACAAGGAGTCCCGCAGGGATCGATTTTAGCACATTTAGTCTTCCTACTCTACGTAAACGATATGCCCTCAACGATTACAAACTGAAGAACAGTTCTCTTTGCGAATGATATGAATATTCTTTGCAATAAAGAAACCGTAAATAGTCCACTTTCAGATATTTCAAGTTGGTTCCGTAATAACAAATTAATAGTAAACAAAAAGAAAACTGTTTCAATGCAGTTTTCCTTTTCAAATAAACAACTCTGTACTCCATTAAAAATGAACGGTGTGCTATTGACTGATATTAAAGTAAAATTTTTAGGTCTTTTAATTCAGTCAAACCTTAAATGAAATGTTCATTTAAGTGAATTGAACACCAAATTGTGTTCTTGATGCTATGCTTTCAGAATTCTTTCCAATGCAGTCACTCTTCATGCTGCTTGTGTATATTTCGCGAATGTTCATTCCAGCTGTGATGTGGCATAATATTCTGGAGAAACACATATTATGGCTCCGAGACTTTTAGATTACAAAAAAGAATTGTATGAATAATAAACAAATCCCACCCATGTGATTCATGTAATCTAAACCTGCCAAATATTTATTTCTTATTATGCCGATTAATTTGACAATTTCATAAAAAGTAGTTTCAGAATCAAACATCGTGTCTAAAATTTTTGGGGAAACGTCTACATTTTGTAGCTGAAGGCCCTTAGTAAGATCGGCAGCAATTCTCCAAACTTTTTAAAAATTTATTAGTCTTTAAATATAAAAATATTTCGCCATTTTTAATCTTTGCCTTCACGAAATTCTTCATAATGCCGAATTTCGTTTGTAGGTGAGGTAAAATACTGTGAGGTTGATTTTTATTTTGAGGCAAAGGAGGCGGCATGTCTTTGGTATGATGTATTGGTTTCATTATGGAATTCACAGTACTTCATATTATGTATGAATTTCTTTGAAAATCGACTGACATTTACACAAAAGTAGTAATCATAGTGATTACTAGGTTCATGCCACAGTGTCGTTATTGCAAATGGCATATACTACTATGGACTGATATAAAGCTCATGTGTGTGTACCTCGGAAACAAGATGTGATAGAACTACATGTCATTTCCTGTCAACATACTGAACAGAAACCAATAATTGCAATCAGTATTTCCGGTACCAAAATCATGTCACTCAGTGTTATAATTAGAGCCCTGGTGTTTATCACATAAAATTATTAGAAATAAGCAAGTATTTATGACCAAATAATATGAAAATGTGACTGAAAAACTTTTTGGTTGCATTTTCAAATTCTGTGAAATTGATTGAAATAGAAATTTCGAATTCTGTGATTCATTGTCAATTAACCCCTTTTCTTTTGGTGCCTCGTGAAGACAATTCTACCTGCCAAAGTTATTTATAGAAGTGATTGACCTTGGCACAAAACTTGACAAAACTATCACTTCCTATGCATCTGGTGCCTTATAAGCCTTTTTCGTGGAAATAACGCAAAGTAAGAAATATGACGTGTCAGAAACATCTGGGCTAATTATAATGGTACGGGTCTCACAAAAAATAAACATTGAGAAAGTTTCGATGAAAAGCAGAAAAATGTTTTTTGATTAAAAATAGTGATTTTTTTCTAAAATACGTGATATAAATCATTGCCACCCTAATTAGAAGTGTTTCAGATTTCTTTGAATTAAGTCGGTATAGTAAAGAAAAATTGTGCTTGAATACATCGCGAAAACCAGCAGAAGTCAAGGATATTTATTTTCTAAATTCTTTCTGTTCCCACCCTCAACATTTTTAATTTGAACTTTCCATAAGTAGAAAGCCATGTTTAAAGATTACCTAATAAGTTTTGTTTGCATGATACAGTGAAAATTGTATTGAAAGGTAAAAAAGAGATTTTTACAAACTATCTTAGTATTTCTTTGCTTCTCTTGTCCGAAGCATTTTATACATAAATTCTTACATTTGCAGTGAAGAATCGAGAAGGTGCCTTTGATGATGCCACATCAACTGAAGAGCAACAGATGAAAATACGAGACCGTCTGAAAAAGTTTTTCAATCGCAGACCAACACGAGAAATTTTAGCTAGCAAGGGAATATATAAAGGTAATATTTGTGTTTTATTTTTAAACACCTTCCTCTCCTTTCCTCTCCTCTCCTATATCTTCTCTCCTCCTCTCTCTTCTCTCCTCCTCTCTCTTCTCCTCTCTCCTCTCCTCCTCTCTCCTCCTCTCTCTTCTCCTCTCTCTTCTCCTCTCTCTCCTCTCCTCCTCTCTCCTCCTCTCCTTTCTCCTCTCTCTCTCTCCTCTCTCTCTCCTCCTC